CTGTTTCTTTCTGCTAAATAGTGGCTCTGTCTCCTTACCCTGTGTTCACTCAGTAACTTTGTCTCCCTACCATTACAACTTAAGACTTATTTAAAGCTAGTTATGTTGCCATACATGAATTCAAGAGGTATGTCTTGATGTTCCTAAAATATAAACTGAGCTGCTTTGTCTTTTTTTTTTTTTTGTCGGTCATGGGGCTTGAACTCTGGGCCTGGGCACTGTTCCTCAGCTCTTCAGCTCAAGGCAAGCGCTCTACCACTTAAGCCACAGCACCACTTCCAGCGGAGCTGTTTTGAACTAACGTGTTTGATTTAAGAATAGCTTCATGTTTTCACTTAGAAATAAGTACATCTTTCTTATATGATAGGTTCTTGTATGAATGACTCCAAAAGCCTAGAAGATGCGATGGGCAAATATTCCAGGTGTATCTTATTTTGTGAGCAACCTGGGAGAATATTTTCTTTTAAAGGCCAAATGTACAGTGATGTTACTCTTCCTCTGCTCCAGTACAGTACTTTTACTCTACATGAATCTACCTCTGTGTGCATTTCTGAGAGCACCAAACTGGATGGGTACAAGTAACTGAATTCCTCAGCTACCCAGCCTGCCAGTTGTTGTCTAGGGCCTGTCTTTCCTCCTTGCCCCCACTAGCAACAGTGTTTCTCATTGGGCAGCTGCTTCCTCTGCTTCCCTCTAATTGGCCCAAAGTGGCAGTGTATTCAGAGGTTAAAAAAAAGAAAGTGATTTAAAATGATCCTGACAAGCCTGATTGTGTTTCCAGTTATTGTCCTCACCTGCAGGTTGGATAATTTTTCCCCTTAAAATTCAGAGTCGTTAGTATCTAAAGCTCAAAGAAGGGCTGATCTCATCTCCATCCTTCTTAATTTAAGATAGGCCCTTTTCAACCTAGTTTTAGTACTAGGGTGGATTTCTGCATTGGATCATTGACATAAAAATATCTAAGAGAACTTGAACTGAAGGCCTAAGAGCTGTCCCTTAGTTTAGTTTTTTTTTTTTTAACTTTTCTCAAGGCTGTTGCTCTACTGGGTTTTTGCTAGTTAATTGGAGATGAGTCTCCTGAACTTTCTGGGCTGGGCTGGGCTGGCTTTGAACTGTGATCCTCAGGTTTCAGCCTCCTGAGTAGCTAGTATTATAGGCATACTCCAATAGTGCCTAGCTTGACTATAAATAACTTTGACCACCTATCCACAAGCACATGGTGTGGAGTGAGTTGTTCAATCACCAAGTCATGCTTAAGCACAGTAATGAAACACTAGTATATTTCTCTAGATCTTGAATTATGTTCTAAAAATACATAAGAAGTACAAAAAGATAAACTTCCATTTCTTTATCACTTTCAAGTAGATTGAAAGTCTCCATAGCCTTTTTGTTTTGTCTATTGTTAATTTTTTGTCTATTTTTAATTTTTATGAAGGATTCTTGCTGTGTTCCAAGGTTATTTTGAACTTCTGGTATGAAGTGTTTCACCCATCTCAGCCTCCTGAGTACATGGGAACAAGTGTATAATAATATGGCTACCTTAGGGTTTGAACTGAAGACTTTGTACTTAATAGCCAGTTACTTTACCACTTGAGCTCTTTTTTCTTTTTGCTTTAGTTTCATCATGCCTCCCAGGTAGAGGATATTACAAACTGACAGCAATACATCATCCTGATTAGCATATTTGATGAGTTGGGGTCTTATCAACTTTTTCTCTCGAGCTTGCTTCCAACTTTGATCCTCGTGATCTCTGTGTCCTGAATAGCTAAGATGACAGGAGTAAGTCCTCCTATCTTGACTTTGGATGGTGTCACCACCACAGAAATACATTTTTTCTTTTTCTTTTGCTGGTCTTGGGGTTTGTACTCAGGGCCTGAGCTCTGTCCCTGATACTCATTGTGCTCAAGGCTAACACTCTACCACTTGAGTCACAGCACCACTTCCGTTCTGAGTAGTTTATTGGAGATAGGAGTCTCACGGACTTTCCTGCCTGGGCTGGTTTCAAATCAGGATCCTCAGACTTCAGCTTCCTGAACAGCAAGGATTACAGGCATGAGCCACCAGTGCACATCTTCTGTTTTTCAAATTGTCAAAGTGACGTACAGAGGGGTTACAGGTACATAATTAAGGTAATAAGTGCATTTCTTGTCAAACTTGTTACCCCTTTCCTCAGTTTTCTCCCACTTTCCCTCCCTCACAACTCCCTCTTCCCTAGTTAAAAAAATCATTTCCAACATAATGTCTTGTGATTATCACTGTTGCATTGGTTCCCCCTTGTCCTTTGTCTCACCATTCTGTTGTTCCCCCTTCCATTCCCTAATTTAAATAAATTTATATATATATATACAATATCAGGGTATCAAAATCAAATATAGTGACAACAGGTGATATACCATAGGGGGAAGAACATACAAAAGAAACAAGAAATCATATAGTACATTAAAAACAACAACAAAGAAAAACCTCTTGTGTCCATGTCTTGGAGTTCATTTCACTTAGCATCATCTTATGTGGTCATATGTACATAACTATTGAGCTAGCGTGCTCACCTTTTTAAAATTATTATGTTTGTTGCTCTACTGGAATTTGACTTCCAGGTTTTGACCTTTTAAAACAAGTGCTCTATCACCTGAACCATGTTTTCAGGAACATTTTTCTAAGAAAATAGTGATGCTTACCAAATAGGTGGGTTAAATCTATATTTGAAAGAAGATCTTGGATCAGAGACATGGCTCCAGTGATGAGAGAAACAGAAAGAATGAAAAAAAAGAATAGCTCACAAAAGAAATCAATCTGCAGTAAACCCACTCAGCCCGCCATGAAGAATCCCTTTTACAACATCAGCTCTACTATTCTTAGATTCTAACACTTCCACATGAGAAAAAGAAATCTGTGTACATTTGCATAGCTCATGGTCTTTCTTTAAAAATGCTTTTTGAATAATGAGATGGTCCGGTTTCCAAGTCAAAATCAAATGTTTACTTCTCACTTAAGAAAGTGCTGCTGCTGACTTTCCAAAGTGACATTTTTTTCAGGCTCTTACCTTTCCATTGAAATGAGGTGCTTGGCTACACTCATTGTCATGTGTATGGTAGGAGTCATCCTCAGCATGTCATGGCCAACACTGAGTTCTAGGCTACCTGCTTTCCCCAAGATTTCTTCTTTCTCTCTGTGCTTAGCTCATAAAAGGGAAGGCTAAATTTCTCAGGAGGATGCTTTGGTGTCTTCCTTGCTTTATCCCTTTCCCCACTTTTCTGCTCCCTCCATTCAAGCCACTTACACTAGCATTCTTGTCTTCATCCAGTAGATAGCCTGAATCCATCCATTTCCTTCCTCACTAGCCACAGGATCCTATGGGGACTGCAGGGTTCCACCTTGAATTCTGTACAAGCCTGTGTGAAATTTTAAACTGAAGTTCAAATCACTTAAAACCAAACCATGATTTCCTATCACACTTCAAATCTATCTTACCCAGACCACGTATGAAGGCTTTCAAAATTCTACTATATGGCAGAAGCATCCTTGATGATTGATGACCTGTTTATTGACTATGGTTAGTAAAATAACACTTGATGAAGCGTTGGCGGATGAAATGTTGGGAAGAATCACCATCTAGAGGAAAAGAGGAAAAATTGAGGTTGGGTTGGGGAAATCAGAGTGGGAGACACATGAACAAAAGATACAGAGGATCCTAAAGAAGAGCAAATGACAGTGCAGATGTTCAGAAAAGAAACTTCACAAAGTGAACATATCCTCCTGTGTAAGAAAATGAAATGTGTTAGCTGCACCCTAGGTTGTTACATCTCATGTAGAAACCATGTACAAGAACATGGCTATAGTAGGGAATTTGGTGCATAGTGTTTGGGGTTGGTAATCTCATTTAGGTATCATTCCAGGTTCTTGGAATCTCAAACAAAGAATTGAGTGAAACACATAAGAGTAAGGAGAAGCACAGGCTTACTGAAGTGAAAGTAAAGAGAGAGAAATGGGAGTAAAAGCCACCGCGGCTGAGCAAGGTAACTCCAAAGCCCCATGGCATAGTGTCCAGGAAAATTTAAGGCTAAAAGGCGTTAAGAGTTCAGTTGGAGGTTCCCTCCCATTGGAGAGGTCCTATATGATGGACAGTTTTTTTTCTTCATCTATTTTTTATTGTTATTATAAAGGTGATGGACAGAAGGGTTACAGTTAGATACATCAGATACAGAATACACTTCTTTTTGAAAAATGTCACCCTTACCCTCACTTTCTCCACTCTCATCTCTACCCACAAATTTCATAGTTCATTTTTAACATAGCATTTAGTGAGTACCACTGCTGCATTTGTTCACTCTTTGTCCTACCATTTCTTTCTTTCTTTCTTTGTCAGTGGTGGGGCTTGAACTGTTGGCCTAGGTGCTATCCCTGAGTTCTTCAGCTCAAGGCCAGTGCTCTACCACTTGAGCCACAGTGCTACTTCTGGTTTTCTAGTAGTTAATTAGAGATAAGAGTCTCACAGACTTTCCTGACTAGGCTGGCTTTGAACTATGATCCTCAGATCTCAGCCTCTTGAGTAGCTAGGATGACAGGTGTGAGCCACCAGCACCCATCTTGTCTCACTATTTCTGTGTCTGCTTTATCCTCTCAAAGACGGATGAACAAACAAGACAAAAAGAAAAGAAAACAAAAACTTCAACAAGGCAAAAACCTGGAGTTTATTTCAATAATATCATTTTATATGATCAGATGCACATAGGTATTAGGCCTTTGTGTTCCTCTCTTAAAAATATCCTCCTTTGACCTGGGTGGGGGGTGGAAGAGAAAATCACTGAGAGAAAATGAGGGAGCAGGTGACATTGTTCAAAAAGAAATTTATTCATTACCTGACTTATGTAACTGTAACTCCTCTGTACATCACCTTTACAATAAAAAAAGAATACCTTCCTTTGGACTTACTGTGTGTGAATGCCTAGAGACCTGTATAATTTATCACATCACACTGTATTGTTTTTTCTGTCATGCAGTGTGTTTGCTTATAGATTTATAGTCACATTCTTGCTACCACAAATGAGAGAAACCCCATGCAGTCTATATTTCTCTGGGTCTGGCTTACTTCACCTATGTAATTTTTCCAAGTCTTTCCATTTCGTTATGAATGATACAATATCATTCTTTCTCATAGATGAATAGAATTCCATTGCCTACATATACCATATTTTCTTGATCCATTTGTCCACTGAGGGGCATCTGGACTGATTCTATACCTTGGCTATGGTAAATAATGCTGCAGTGAACATGGTTGTGAAAATATTATAGGAAGGGCTAGGAGAAACAGTAGGGCTCCTAGGCACATATCGAAATTTCCTAAATAAAGATCCAGAATCACAAGAAATCAAAGACTGGACAAATGGGATTGCATCAAATTTAAAAAGTTTCTGTATGGCAATGGACATAGCTAACAAGTTAACTAGAAAGCCCACAGATTGGAGGAACATTTTTACCAGTTATGCATTAGACAAAGGCCTCATATGTAAAATACCCTTAGAGCTCAAAAAATTAACACCCTCTCCAAAGAATCCCTCAACGAAGTAACAACTCAAATAATAAATTGGTTAAAGACTTAAAGAGAGACTTTTCAGAAAAAGTACGAATGGCCAATAGATGCATGAAGAAATGTTCAACATCTCTGGCCATAAAGGAAATACAGATCAAAGCAGCATTGAGATTCTATCTCATCCTAGTTAAAAATGGCCATTGCCAAGAAAAGTATCAGTAATAACTGCTAGCAGGGACGTGGCCAAAAGAGAACTATTATTACACTGTTGGTGGGAATGTAAACTTGTTCAACTATTCTGGAATGCAGTATGGAGGTTCGTCAAGACTAAACATAGAACTATCGTATGACCCAGCAATTCCACTTCTGGGCATTTGTCCAATAGAACACAACTGAAGCCACACTAAAGTTACCAACACAACCATGTTTATTGCAGCATTATTTATCATAACTGAAAGATGGGCAGTTTTGAGTGGCTTTAAAGGGATATTTTTGGCTGCTCATATCCATTTCACACTACATCCTGTTATAATATTCAATAATATTTAATAACATAGAGACCCATCTAGAATTTTTTCCCAACTCGTTCACTCAGGGACACACAAGTGCAGCATGTGCATGTGTCATTAAAAGGAATTTTACTTTTCTGAGGAAGTACTCTTTTTAGCAAGATTTAGTGTTCATTCGTCTCAGGACACTTAGTACTTTTTGGTGGTCTTGAGGTGTGGGGAGTTAGGAGGAGTGTAGATGCAATCCTCAGGCAAAGGCAGATCTGTAAGTCAGGCTTGCAAGGGTCTAGCAACCACAGAACATATGCTATCTGTATGTATTATCAGCAGTCTGTTAACATGTACGGACAGGTGTCTTAGTTTTCCCCAAGCACCTTGCTCATTAGTAGTAAAGTAGAAGAGGAAGGATCATTTCTGTGAGCATCTGAAGATAAATTGTCAAAAGGGAACTCTGGATTTCATCTGCAAGGTAAAGAATGTTCTCAAAAATCATCAGTCACCTAAAAGTGTTAATAACTGTGGCACAGTTCTGTTATTCTGTGGGATCTCCACACACCCCCAGCAGTCAGGAAGGGAAGAGCAGGGGGGCCTGAGTTGAAAGGGGGCAGTACTGTATGTATACCTGTGCTGTCTGTGCTCTGTGACACCGAAGCCCATAGACTGTAGAGAAGAAAATAGCTCCCAACAATTTGTGTCTTCAGAGAGTTCGAGACAATTTTATTTTCTGAGGCATTGCTGATAAGTGTTTTTTGGAAATGCTACCAATCTCCACTTGGAATCAGAGGGGAGGGACAAGGAACTGAGAGGCCTGAATCCTTTGGTTGGAAATGAAATTCTATATGGTGACACACTAAATCTCTGGCTTCCTCCTACATTAGGGAGAAGCCAGGGGCAGACTGCAGAGGACCTGAGGACAGCACCAGGATCTTCTAAGATGATGGTGCTGGCAACTCCTAGAAGCTGTTCTACTAATTTGCTTGACTTTCTGGAAGGACAGATGGGTTGACCTGAGTGGGGGCGGGGGGAATGAAGAAGCGATGGCAGCTATTAGGAGAAACCTAAAGGCATTTTGATGTCAGGTGTTCCTGCAGGCCAGGAGGCCACTATGAGAGCTCAGAAACTACTGAATCTGAAGGAAGGGCTCAGCGAGAATGACAGACTGGTTTTCTTGAGTATTTGTCCCAAATAATAGCATTTATCTATATTTTTCACATTACAATTTAGAATAAAACACCCAGTTGATGTCATAAATAATAAGATGTTACAAATTCACTTATACTCTTCATAAATATATTTCCAATGACATGGGATGTCTAACAACAAAGCATAGACTCTATGCACATGTAAACATGGCACCTACCCCTGGCTTACCCACATTTCCATGAGGTTTGCTCTTTCATATGATTACTCCATTATGAGTAGCAATGTAGAAACATAACTAATTGAGGGTTAGGAAAGACAGGGGAGAAGGATGAAGGGAGTGACATTGATCAAGACGCAGTGTACCCATGAACTGACATGGTGAATTAAAACACCATTGTGCAACTACTTAATGATAATAGTAATGAAAGGAAGAAGGAGCAATATAGTTTGAATCCCACAGGTATTGCTCTCTTACTAGTAATAAACACATACAATTTTCTAGGCATACCTGTGACCATGTTTAAAAAAACTGAACTCTAACTTTATAGATATAACTATTACTTATGTAGTCTAGATCATATCTCTGTAAGCCTAGGTGGGGCATGGGATTTACCTGTGGGCTGGGAACCTGGTTTTCAGAACAAGTTCTAAGAGAGTTCTGAGCAGTACTCGCCATAGATTCCATCTGCCCAGATGCCCACCTGGGTCTTGGCTGGAATCATTCACTGACCGTTAGAACTGGCCTTTACCTACCCTGACCCTCTGTCTGGAACTTAGTGGGCCTTTTATTCAACCTTGTAGAATGATAAGTTGGATTCCTTGACCTCCTGATAGTGTAAGTCTCTGTTTCTCTGCTTTTTATATGACTGTTAAAGCTGGAGGGCCTCCGAACCTGTCATTCAAACACAGTGTCCTTGAAGGCTTGGTCCTCTACTGGTACTGTTACTTTGATCACTAAGAAGATAAACTCATCAGTGGACTATTCCATTGATGATTTCTTAGCAGAATGGGCTACTAGAAGGTGCATCCTAGTCGGAGGAAGTAGGCGACTAGGGGTAGTGGTGTGCCTTTCGAGTATGTGTCTTGTTCATTTTCTCTGCTTTCTGGCTGCCATGAAGTAAGGAGCTTTGCGCCCTCCTTTCCTGTGCACTGTTCTACCCTGTCACAGATCCACAGCAATGGTGACTGACAAGCAGGAACTAAGTCCCTGGAATCCATGCACCCAAACAAATCTTTCCTCTGTCAAGTTGAGTTTTCTCAGGTGTTTGGTCACAGTGCTATAAAGCTAGTTTACATAGTGACTTGGAAGACGAAGGCATGTTCCAGGTACGACAGGGTTCATTTGTCTGGATCATGTATCACAAAGAACAATAAAAACAAAAAGAGATTATGAAAGGTCATGAACACAAGAGTGACAAGGTTGGATTTTTTCCCTGGGAGTAGGTGGGAAGGGTTCAAGTGAGGGAAGAACAGACAGGAACAGCTTTGTGACTGAGAAAGAATGTTCTGTCTTCTGGGCAGAGGACATTCTGGATGAAGTCCAGCACTGTAGTCAAAGAGGCTGCTAGTGAGGCAGTTGTTTATACAGCAGAACAATAAGGGTTGTTGGCATGGAACCAGTAGTAACAGTAGTAAGATAATAGTAGTAAGAGCTGGAGAGGTTTAGGGCTGTGGGTATAGCTCAGTGGTATAATACTTGCTTAGCATGAGTGAGAACCTGGGCTCAATCCCCAGCCTACCAAAGAGAAAAAAATGTTAGAGATTCAGTACTTATTTGGGAATTTAGTGACCAACTAGAATTTACAAGTATTTTAGAACTAATCTCAAAAATGTTATCTGGCTCTTTTAACATTTCATTATCTCTTTACGGTTTTAATATGTGAACATATACATGAGTTCACTGTGTGAAAAAATCTTTTCTTTTTTATTGTTACTGCTGCGGATCAAAGGCAGGGGTTCATATGCTAGGCAAGCACTTTCCAATGGAGGAATTCTTTTTCCTTATTTTGAGACAAAAATTGTTATTTATTTATTCATTTATTTATTTTTGTTCAGGTCGTGGGCCTGAACTCTGGGCCTGGGTGCTGTCCCTCAGCTCTTCAGCTCAAGGCTAGCGCTCTTCTGCTTGAGCCACAGCACCACTTTCGGCTTTTTCTGCTTATGTGGTGCTGAGGAATCGAACCCAGGGCCTCATGCGTGTAAGGCAAGCGCTCTACCACTGAGCCACCTTCCCAGCCCCAATTGTCATCTATGTTTAACTGAATTTTGTATGTATATTATATGTGTTTTGAACATATATACTTTTAAAATATTTCTAATATTTAAACAGACTTTATAATTGCTATTGTGTTTATGATGGATTGAGCTAAGCTCAGATTGTATACTTCCAAGTACAGTCAACAGCCACACGACTTGGTGCATTGTGGTAGTTTTTGCTTGTTAGCTTCATTCTGCAAAGTATCAGTTTCTGTTCAAAAGTCTAAAAACCCTCTTGACTCACTTTTCTTCATATTGACTCTTCCTGGTTCATCTAATAAAAGTAGTGGACTGAACTGAAGACCTGGTTATAGGAAAGTTACTATAAAGGAAAAGAGTATCAAACTTCCTGGAGCAACTGTGTATGTAATACATTTATCATTGTGGTACGTCTAGATGACACAGAGCAAGCAGCTAATCCAACAATTGTTGGTCCTCAATGAGCCTGTTCCAAAGGGCAGACTGAAACAATACCACATGACAGTCACAAAATCCTATCTCTGACAAGCACCATACCCATGGGTAGAAGTTGAACTGTTATTTCTCTGTTCTCTTCTCCTTTTCCCCAGACATCTAATTGTCCACATAGTACATACTATGTGTGTCCCCCCTTCCTGGTTCCC